GTGAGTGAGTGAGTGAGTGAGGGAGTGAGGGAGTGAGAGAGAGAGAGTGTGGGTGTCTGTGTTTGAGTGTGTGTTTGTCTGTTTGAAATTGTGTGTGTGTGTGTGTGTGTGTGTGTGTGTGTGTGTGTGTGTGTGTGTGTGTGTGTGTGTGTGTGTGTGTGTGTGTGTGTGTGTGTGTGTGTGTGTGTGTAAGCAGGTGGGGGAGAGAGAGAGAGATCTCTCGACTGGATTGAAAAGATCGAAAGTACTACAAATACTCAGACGCATTTTGCACACTTTTTGCATATTAGAAACGGAGTTGGCAACACTAAAACTGCAATATAATGTTTGTGTAGCAATGATACATACGACATATATTTTTTCATTGTCTCCAGTACCGACAAAAAGACCGATAACGTCGGAGCTTAACGGTACCACGGTCTTTAATAATTCAGCCCCGGGGCCCGTTTAATACCGGGACCACCACTGTGATTATGTTTGCTTTTACGACATATTAAACCCTGTAAATGCACACTGTAAATGCATCCAGATGTTCTGTATCATGACATTCATGTTTTTCAAGCCATGTGATTGCAGTTCATGGCTATCCCAGAGGGAGCCTGCTGCTTCCCTTCATTGATGCAGCTCTCAGTAGTACGGGGAGAGGTCACGGTACTCTGCTCCACAGGGGTTCCTGCTGCCAGTGTGGCATGAGGCCCCAACACTCATAGAGGAAACAGACAGCCAATTCAACAATTCCTATTATTCTCTGCAGGGAGAGCTGTCAGGAATTCTCTTTGGACGTAGCAGCCAGACACAAACAAACACACGCATACACAAATGTGCACAAATGTTCATTCATACGTGAGGATCGGAGTGAGGTCATGCAGCCGACCACAGCTGTACACAAGTGAGATCATAATCGTTCTGACTGACAACCAAGTCAGCTTAGAAAACACAAACAGGGCTGTTTGTGTTTTGCCTGGTTTAGTCGAGGCAAAAACCCGCGATGTATTTCTTCCAGTCAGTACATGCAGACTTGCCTGGTAGCGTGTTTCTCCTTCCATCTGCTCCAATGATGACATCAAACTCGAGTTCGTTGACAGGGTGTGTCCTGGGGTGGACCTCGGCCCTCCAGCCTATCCCTGAGAAAACACACAAGATGTGTAATCAGGCAGAAATCCATCAACAGAGCCAGCTTAAAGTCTCTGACAGATAGCTCCCTGATGGAACACATGTTCTGTTTCCATTCATTTTTCTTCTTCTTGTCATTCAGCTTATGACTCACTTACTTTCAGTTTCTTGATCTTCTGGGGGCTCAATGAGACTCTTGAATTCCACGTTGACATGGATCTCAATGCCCAGCAGGAGAGCCACTTTGAGCAGAATCAACTGAAGCTGACGAATACCTTTATTACAGTACAAAGAAGGAGAGAAAAGATTGACCTACAAAACCCAAATATGCATCACTTAAGCACATCAAACTCTTTATCCAAGCAAATAAATCATATACATCATATAGGTAGTGTTAGAAAACAATAGCACGACAAAACTCACTGATATGATCGATAGCACCAGCACAGAACTTTCCATAGAACTTCTTGGCCCCGAGGCCCCTGAGGTCCTGGATGGTGAAGGGCCAGAGATGCAGCACATTGTTCCGAGAGAAGGCGTCCCTCTTCTCTAGCAGCACCACTTTGGCCCCCAGGAAGGCCAGCTCGATGGCTGTACGTAGGCCACATGGCCCCGCACCAATGATTACACACTGCATACAGAGAGAAGCACATGTTATAGACAAGCCCTGAGAAAGATTTCAACCATTGACATGGAACAGCAGATCCACTGTCCATCTTTCACAACAGGCTGGAAACCCAAAAAAGCATTACCTGTTTTGCAACACGCAAAGAGAATACAAATGTATGAGAGTGAAATCAAGCTGTAGTTATTAACATGCTATTAACAAAATAAGCACGCTTGATTGGTCTATGTTGATGCTTTACATGCACCTCATTTAAATTTAAGAAAGAAAATCCATTGCAACTCAATTTTGCGTGGATTGGAAAATGGTCATGGGCCCACCTATCAAAACTGTCAATGTCCGAAAGCTAGGGCAAAGCTTGATTAATTAAAGATAAGTCAAGCTAAAATATGACAAAATATCTAATTTAATTAGCTTGACTTATGAAGGATAAAACCAGACAACTTAAGATAACATAACATACTGTAAGCTAACATGAGCAAAGATAACATAAGCCTAGCTACATTTAGATAGAATGGCATAAGCTAAGCTAAGTTACAAACTGTATTCATCTTAAAAGGATATGTTATTAGTTGGTTGATTAAATTAGCTTTATTTTTAGAGCACAGTTGAAAGACGCACTAGTCTTTCAATTCAACTTTTTAACAACAACAAATACAGCTGCTGATTGGCGGTCAGATACACTTTAAAACTTTTAAAACTTTAATAGCAACCATGAGCATCACATTACATGATTATTTAACAACAAGCACCACATTTAGCTCTCACTGAAATGACACCACCAAGAAGCAAAGTCACCTTCAAACTAGGCATGCAGTTTGTGATGATCTGGGCTTACCTTTGAGTTGGCACAGGCACGGCCTTTCTTATACTCCTTTTGAAAAGCCCGCTTATCTAACTTTGCCCAGAGTGCCTTGGCCTTCCAGTAGTTGAGTTTGGACTTGAGCTTGTGATAGAAGATCCTGTACTCGCCAGGCCTGACTTCCAGATGGTCACAGAGGTCCTGGAAGGCCTTGAGCGTGCCCTTGAACGTGGTCCCCTGGACAAACTTGTCGAACAGGACATGGGACTTGTTCACCCCATCTCCTCCAGTTGCACCGACTCCTCCATCCCCCATAGTCCAGACTCACACGGGGCTGTAGGGCCCTGCAACCCCCAGGCAGGGGTCTCTGGGTCCAGCCCCAGCCCTGGAACAAGCTCTCTCTGGTGGGGGGCTCTACCTCCCAGCCTCAGGCATCTTCATTCTGTCCACAAAAGAGAGAGAAACAAATAAGTTAATTAAAGAAGATCATGCTCATAAGCCAATACACAGGACTATAGAATCAGAATCAAGTTTATTGCCAGGTAAGTTTACACATACTGTACAAGGAATATGTTTTGGTATTTGGTGGTGCGAAAACAAACAATCTAAAAAACAAGTTACAAAGTAGGTAAAACTAAGAAATATATAAGGATTAGGGATGCTCCGATCGATCCGCCGATTTCATCTACCTCTGGAACAAGCTAAACTAGTTATAAATATATGTATTCTTCACTGTCAGGTCACTCATTACTGGATCAGTGATCGGAGCATCCCTAATAAGGATAATAAAAAATAAGTATTTTTAAGAAAGAATTTAGCATTAACAAAGGAATGAATTAGGCTGCCGGACATATGAAGAGCACTGGACCCTCCAAAGGAAAACAGGAAACAATCTGAGAATAAGTGTGTAGACCCGTCTGTGGCACAGATCGCTCCAGACAGGCACAGGATATAGCCAGTTCATCCCTAAATACTATGAAAAAGAACACAATCTGAGTCATTCAAGCTAATTATTTGGCAATAGAACACTGTTTAGAAGCCAGATAGTTTGATGCACTGTGCAGGCCCACTGGTTTTCCATAGCTTCCTAGAAACTAAGTGAGAGTTGACTTTTGGCATTTGTTTTACTACTATGAATAAAGCAGCTCAACTTTATGTGTTGTGAGTTTTCACCCTAAGGGGGGCGAGATATTTCATGTTGTCTGGCAGCTGTAGTTCAGCTGTCCTTCCTGGAATGTCTTGATGGGCCCTTTGTGAATATCTGTGACTGTATTTAGCAGCAGAAGCAGCCTTTTAAAAAAGGTCAGAGTTATTAAATGCAAGACTTAAAAACAGAGGATGAAAGACATCGATTGCAGCAAAGAATTGCTAAATGATAAGTTACCAGCCAAGCAGCAGTGGTTTGCAATAGCTGCCCAGGGCAAGGGTGCAGAAACTTGCTTTTCTTGCTGGAGGTCCACAATGGTAAAGCAAAAAAGTATATGTGCTTTCTGTCAACACAGATTCAATTCAAGAAATAACCTCGATCAGGAATAAACACAACATTAAATCTTGTTAACATTTTAGGGAACACACTGGTTCTACCTTCAAATGGACCATGCAAGCTCATGAAAGCCACATGGAAAGTTGTGTATTTGATATGCTTCGCGGGTCTAGTCATGAGAATAAAGCTTCAAAGCAAAGACGCAGTCACTTCATGATTAGCCACTGAGCTGTTCATTCAAAGGCAAAATGACAGCTGAAAAAGATAAGGCATTGGGAATATCAACCTCTTCAGAAATAAAAAAATATGACCAAAAAAATCGATTTAACCAAAGCTACAGTGCATTAGAAGCAAAAATACTATTTGATAAACGGCAAAGGACCATTTATGTCACCATTCAATTTCAGGGTGAAGACAAGACTTCGGTTACTTAAATCCAGATGAACAAACATACATTTTTCCACTGTCAGCCACCACTTATTCTGGGAAAGCCTGAGCTTTGTACCCCACTGTCCAGGAAGTTGAGCTAGTCCATAAAGACCAATGTAGTCCCAGTCCCATTGGCAACACATGATGAAAGGGAGGCAGGTACAGAGGTCAGCTTGTCTCTTATTCACACACTGCCAGCTCCTCACTGCAGTGGAAACACCAGCCTGTGGCTCTGGCTCTGCCTCCAGCCAGCCAGGATCAGGGCTGACGGATGCAGTGCCAGCACACAGACGGAAAGGGCCTCTTCCAACACAAGCATTTTCATTACTTGCTACATCATTTCCTCTATAAAACAACCCGTAAAGGTCCATCTGCACCCTCAGCGGTTGCGGGCTGCGGTTATGTATGTTCGTAGAATCAATTCAGTAGAGTATATGAATAATACTTTCTATCACTGGTCTCACTGGTGTTTAAGTCAAATTCAGACGACATCATCACTAATCAAACAAACCTAATATTGATTAGGCGCAATCAAAACAGTTACATTACAAATGACTCAATCGATGGCGCTTCATGTGCTAGTCAATACTAATGACTGTGTCAAATACATAAGTGTCATTCAAATAGTTATCAGGCATCTGGAGGCCTTTCCTGTGTATCTGCACAAGGATACAATATGCTGCGGTGGATTGTAGAGCAGAACTGAGATTCAGTCAAGCTTGCAGTTTCTTTAGTGTGCTGGAGGGGGGGGGAGTGTAATAGAAGTACACTGTGAATAAGCAGAGATGAAAGACAGTTTCAAGGTTATTTTCTACCCAAAAATAGGCCATTGTATCAGTCAGATTCTCAGAAGCTATGTCAATTGTAATCTTAACAACTTGAAAAAGCACAACAGAAGCCTCTTTAAACACAACAAGTTTTATGATGAGATTGTTCTTATCTTCACTCTTCTTTTCGACATAGATTATGTTTATTCATTTTATGAATGAAGGCAAGAATAGAGATCACGATTAATCAGCCTGGCGACTGTTTCATCAGGCCCAGAAAAATAAAGCAGATCTTCTCAAATTCCTCGTTTAAAGCTTCATGAAGCCGTAGGTAAAAAGAAGATGCATCAAACAGAACAGGAACTTGGGAGGATGGTCTCAGGGGGGAAATCATTCATCTCATGGTGAAATTAACTAGCTACTCTCTCCCCATTGGGGCCAAAATGATTTCCTTCTGCGGTTTCTTTTACTGTAAGGGCACAACGTTTATGGCAATGCATCAAAAGCCAAGCAGGGGAGATGATACTCTAACCTTTATGACACACATCAGAGAAAGCTGGCAGTAAACATCTAACACACTTTGAGCTCTTTGAAGGAATAAGCAACGACTGACTAGCATGCTGTGTCACAGTAAGTGTGTGTGTGTTATGTCAAAAGATGCAGCTGAGGCAGCTCTACCAACGTAATGCCAACATTAAACCTGACCTATAATTTGAATAATAGTAGCCTCCTGCAAAGATCCCCATATGCTCAGTCAACAGTAAGGTGCCGCTCACACGGGAACGTTTGCGTTTATGCACAGTATGCGTTTTCAAAAAAGTCTTCCGTTCACACGTATTCGTTTCATTTGACGTGTCTGTAGCAGCGAAGAAGAACACGGAGCAATGTTGCCATGGCTACCCTTCTGTTTATGCCCCTCGGTGGATTTAGCAACATGTAGTAGTTCATGTAATTCTCCATGTCCACTTGTTGCTGATGGTTGTGGTAGAGGAGCTGTAGATTTTGCACTAACATCTGTAGCATGGTCAGTAGCAGTAGCACTAGCTACAGCAGTGAGCAGCAGAGGCGGGGAGAGGTGGGGCTATCGTTATTTTTTTCAGGAAATTATCGTATAGAGGCGATTACACGGACTCGTTTGACCCCCCAGAGCGTTTCGTTTGCAAATCTATCCACCTTGGGACCCGTTATCGTTTGTGGGGTCCGTTTCTATCGTTTTGTTACGGCCTCGTGTAAATGAAAGGGCTATACGCAAGAGAAACTATGCAGATCCAGCCCGTTTTGTTCTCGTGTAAACGGCACCTCAATGTTGCATCATGTGTTTTCTGATTGGCGGAGAATGGTGACGGATTATCACAGTCACATTACTGGCCAGGGTAGCAACATGACATTAATAGCATTGTCTGAGGGAAGGGAAGTGTTCATGTTTTTCTATTATAGTAACATTTAAACACAACCACTTTAAGTGGATAATAAAATGAAGAAGAATCAAAGCAGCTTTGGCTCAGCAGGCACTCAAAATCTCCTGACATCTGGATGAGCTGTAGGATTTCACACATTCACAGAACTCACACAATAATTTACTCACATGCATGCAAAGCCTTAAGTGCACACATCCTTTCTCCTTCCTAAGCACACACAGACACAAACAAACAGCATGCCTTTGCTTTTTACTCGCTGTATTACATCATCCTGTAATCTGAAAATAGCGTTGGAGATTAGGCCACTAGGCTACATGTTGGACAGTATTGTTGTCGCAATATGACACTGTCACTACCAGCAGTAATACATAACAGACTATAATGGATTTCAAAGTCTGGATAAATGACTATATTGTTATTAGTACTGGCCTTGCAACTTTCTTTTGCATCAGATTTTATTTTTATTTCATCACCAGGCAATGGCTAAAAAGATTAATAAAAAAAAACATATCACAGACAATTAGACAATCATTTGAGGTTTTCTGTCAATAGAACTGCAGACAATAGTCGAAAAAGAAAACAACACAGGAGCTTTGAGGTAAACAAGTTAAGTCAATTGCTTTACCACCACTGAATAACAGAGCTAAGTAAGCTGGTCTGTGTCAGTGTCTGTCCTGAATTAGCATTTTGTCCTCCGTCACTCTCCCACACAGGGATGACTGATGCTTCGATGCCACTCTTGAGATGGAACCTGTTTACTTGAAAGTGCAGTTGACAATTTATTCCATCAAATTTGTAGCACACCAAACCTTTTTTATAATTTCTTAAAACCATGTAATGATAGCTGGGTATGACTGTGCTTCCGGTTTGCCTTAAGACTATTGGCAGGAGCCAACTCCATCAACATTATTGTGATAAAGTCAGACCCATATACAGTAATCCCAAAGTCCCACATTGATTTAGGTAGGCGTCCAGTAATGCCAATTACATTTTCCACATCAAAGGAGTTTCAGAGAGTATGTTTCTGCTAGGGGTGTAACGGTTCACAAACATTTCGGTTCGGTACTGTACGTACCTCGGTTTTAGGTCACGGATCGGTTCGGTACGTTTTCGGTACAGGAGAAAAAAATGATCACAAAACATAAAATATTTTTTTGGGGTTTTTAATTATTATTAAACTGTGAGTAAATTATTCACTCAAATAAATACAACATAAAATAAAATAAACATTAAGGTGCAGCGTTTCGATGAACTGAAATAATCTGTATTTGAACTTTACTGTACTAGTACTCACAAAACATAAAATATTTGTTTTGGGTTTTTAATTATTATTAAAGTGTGAATA